GATAATGAGTATAGAAATTAGGAAAACATATATTTTGGAGGTGGGTGGTGGTGGTTTTGGCGGTAACCATTTAAATGGGTACCCATGTCTAATTTATTTAAACACAATTTTAATTGGGTTCACAAAATGTAACCCATTTATATGGGTTTATACGAGTTTATGTATTTGGGTAAGTTACCTGAAATGGATATTATTGGGTGGGTTTATGGTTTTAGGTTGACTTTGTCAGCTCTATATTATATCATCATTTTTCTTTCTATTTTGATACTTGTAAAAGGGCTCTTGCGGAGATGGTGGTCATTGATGAGTTACCATTTAGATTTGTGGAGGGTGTTGGGTTTAGAAGATTTTGTAATGTCATGCAACCCAAATTCACACCAATTCCCTCTCGTCAAACCATATCTAGAAAAGTGCTCAATATATTCAAGAATGAAAGGGATAAGTTAAAGAAGGCCATGAAGGGTTGTAGAATTTGCTTTACTACGGACACTTGGACATCTATTTAGAAATTGTGTTACATGTGTTTGACTGCTCATTTCATTGATGATAACTGGAAACTTCAAAAAAGCTATATTGAGATGAAATATATAGACATTTGTTTATCTTTTCATTTTTTACTATAATTGAAGATTAAAGTTTATATTTTTTTAATTTGTTTTTGTGTAGGGTTCATCAACCAAATGCATGGAATTGGAATTGGAATTCGAATTTGTGAAAGTTGGATTGGATGCGAATGAAGTTTGACAACATGTGAATGAAGGATTGGAATTGAAATGTTTTTATTTTATTTCATGGGTTTGTATTGAATGAAGTTTAACAACAAATATTTTTTTTTTTAATTGCATTTTGGTTTTGGATGAATGTAAGTTAATGAATTTTTATTTTTTTTTTTTCATTTTGGATGAATGTAAGTTAATGAAGAATTATTTTTTATTTTTTATTTTTTTTTGTATTTGGGTTAGGAATGATGAATGTAGAATTTTCAATGTAGCATTTTTTTTATTTGGGTTATGAATGATGAATGTAGGATGAATGTAAGTTAATGATGAATGTAGATTTTGAGTGATTTGTTTAGGTTTCGAATTGAATTTGTTGTGTTTTTTATTTTGTAAGTTTTTTATAAGTTTTAATTCATTAATTATTAATGTTGGAGCATTTTATAAAATATGAGGAAAAATGTCCAAAATAAAGATTGACAAAATGGGAGGAAAAAAAAGGGTTTAAAAATAATTTTTGAAAAAAAGTTTAATCCGCAAACCGCCCGCAACCGCCCGCACATTCGCGAACCCTATCCGCACAAACTGCAAACCGCATTGCGGGCGGTTGCGGGTTGACTTTTCCCCAAACCGCATAGATGCGGCCGGGTCTAATCCGAACCGCAAACCGTCCCAAACCGAACTATGGACACCCCTACCCGTTGGGTCTAAATGAGGCACGGCCGGTTCTAAATGGACCTAGCCGGGTCCAAAAATCTGTATCTAGGCCCAACTTCAAACGGGCATATCTCCCTCATTCGGACTCGATTTTAGGTGATTCTTGAGTCTAAATTGAAGCCCTGCAATTCTAACTTTCAATGGTGGTGGCCTCACATCTAAATTCTAAGTGTTCAAAGAGATATACCTAATTTAGTGAAAGCTACTCATTCTTTCTCAACGGTTTGATGCTCAATCTTTTCCTAAACTAGTTTTCTTCCCTCCCCTCCTATTTTCTCCAACTCCAAACCTATAAATAAGATGTTTTTAAAGATTTTCCAAAGAGTTCACCTCTTTTCCATGTATCTCCACTTTGTACTTACTCGGTTTACTAAAAAGTGTAATATTTTAAACAAAATGTGAGCGTTGAAAAATCGTAGAAACATTTGAAAAAATATTTTGAAAAGAGAATTTTAAGGTCTAAAATAGTTGGGCCAAAATGGGGTGTAAGGTTGGGATTAAAACTTGAATCCAAATTTCTTTTTTGAGAATTCAAAAGATTGCACAGCGTAACTTTCATCATCGGGTGTTTGGAATAAAGCGCCCAAGTCTTAAGGGCGGTCAAAAAGAGGATGTCTACACCGACGTGAAGTTAATCTGTTTTTCACATGTTGTGAACATCAACCAAACTAATTGGTGAATGGTTTGTATAGAATACAAATAGTTTTGCTATATCCATGTTTACATTGTAATTTTTCAACAAATCCTAGTCTCACTCTTTCATCAGTAGTAGGGTTATGTCTTTAACTTATTTTGTTAATTTCACATCATCCAAATTGTCAATTTAATTGTCTATAACTACATATTAGATTTCATTAAAGTGGCATGGTTAGGCTACTTATTACCCACATTGATGTGATCCTTTTCTGGGAGTGCTTATTCTGTTTCATTATATTGGATTGATGAAAACAACTTTCCTTATGCAGATGGATGCCGGTCCCAGTGAACGTCGATTAGTAACAGCTTTGTCACGACCCAAACCCGCCCTTATAGGTTTAGCATCGTAACCGGCTAGTAATCCTTGGATTACCGAAGGCCTCTGAACAGATAAGCATATAATAAGGGGCTAGCGGAAGCAAATACATAAATATAGTTGTCCAATGAGCTGTGCTGACTTATATGAAACAGAATATTTAAAACTTTAAACACATAGTCAAAAGTCAATCATACATAATACCCACACACATTAAAGTACCTGAAGTACAGCCAATAGAATTACATCAAGTCATATATATACACAGGATCAACAGAACTTGAACACAGGACACTTCGGGAACCTCCACGTGAGGCACAATGGCTGGCTGACAACAGAACACAGATCCAGACAAAAAGTCTCCAGACTTGAACTCCAGAATGCTCACCTATACATATATATATACAAACAGTGAGCTAAAGCCCAGTGAATAACATTAAGGTAAAAAGGTTAGTGAACGAAATCCGAACATATCATAAGCGGAAAACAGATCATAGCATAATCATTCTCATATCAGAACATAATAATGGTACATCCCATAGAACACATCACAGAACGTCTTCCGACTAGAGTAATCGGTTCCGGATACCGATTAAACACATATCACCACAATGAAGTGGCTAACGAGATCTCGTAATTACTTGTATGTCATGGACCCGCATTTTCATGCCATCCCCCATGACTTGGGACTATCTATGGATGCCATAATAGTCTTCAAACATGGAATATTCATTCACGAAAATAGATATCATTTCAGAAATCAGAACTTATCATATTTCATTTGGAACATAATTCATATCAACATATCTTTACAGAAATGTTACTCACTGTGGTTCTAGTAAGCGGTCAATCAATCCTCGAGTTTTGACCTACAATCACAAAATACATAACACAAGCATGTCTTATCATTACACATTCATGTGGCTAACACGGCTTAGCTTACTTTACATAGGTTTCTTGCTTAACACATTGCTCAAAACACACTCTTGAATCTCATAACTTAGTACATTCTTTACTTAGTGTGTTTCTAATCCATAACCTCATTATCAAAGCTTAATTAGGTCTTAGGAATGCCTAAGATGCAATGATGATGCCAAAACATGAGTTGGAACACTTAGGCAAATTTTCTAAAAATAAGGTCCCCGCTCGAGCGTAGACTTCCTCGCTCGAGCGGACATGCAAAATGAGAGGGGTCGCTCGAGCGATCTACAAACTAGGAAAAAAGTACTGGTTGGTCTCAATCTACGCTCGAGCTACAACTTCCATGCTCTAGCGGACATGCAAAATGTAAATGGTCGCTCAAGCGCACATTCCTTCACTCAAGCGATCTGTAAGCGACATGAAACTTCTGGGAGCTTGCAATTCACGCTTGAGCGGACTTTTGGTCGCTCGAGTGGAGTGCACGCACTCAGAGTGGTCGCTCGAGCGTGAACTCCCACGCTCGAGCGTGGATGCAATTTTTGGAATTTCCAGATTGACCTCCAAGCATGAAACTCGATCTTCAACCATCCAAAACTCATTTTTCTGGGCCAAATTTTTGGAAAACACTTAATAACTCATTGAACAACATGTTTGAAGAATCATTTCAAGAAATCATGGCCCAAGAGCAACCCAATTTGTACAAAATCAACATGAACTTTATGAATATGCTATTAATTCAACATGTAAGAACCTCTTTGAATTCAAACCCTTCAAAACATAATCAAACTTGATATTTTGATGGAAAACAAGTTGAATGACCATAATGTGAGTGAAATTAACACATGCATGGAAGAAATCTTAGAATTCAAACTCAAAACTAGGAAATTTATGCATGCATGCATGAATTAACTCTAAATTCATCATCTTTGGTCCAATTCTTGTACATAGTTACAATTTCTTCTTGAATTGATCTACTTGGTGGTTAAAACTCATAATTAAGCCTTAAATCCTTACCTAGAGTCTTGAATTACTCTTGTTCTAGCACAATCTTGATGAATTCAACACAAAACCTTTAATTTCTCCTTCAATCTCTACCTTTCTCTCTCTAGAATTGCACTTTCTCTCTTTCTAAGGTGAAATCTCAGATTTTTGCTCTAAAGGAAATGAAAGATTAAATGAGCTTAAGGCTCATATGTATAGCTATAATGCTAAAAAATACACTAATTAGAATATTAGGCTAACCAAACACGACTTAATTAATCAGACTGAAACAATTTTTAATAAAATTTTCCATAGTGCTCTAAAAATTCCAAATAACATATCGGTGTAGTCAATTTCGATTTCGGATGTCGATAAGGCTTTCAATTAACGTACCAAAGTGGAATTTCTAACAAATATTTCTACAAGTAACAGATAGAGAGCCAAAATCATGCAAAATACGGAATGAACACATAATTTATTTTAATCCTCTCATTAACATCCTTAAATACGGATTAGTAGCTAATTACGGATCGGGGTTATTACAAGCTTCGAACAAAAGACTCCATGAATTAGAGAGACGTGGACGTGCTCGAGTGCATGATGATGACGTGCACATTGCCATTGATGATGATTCTATACATGATGCACCAGTTATGGATGATATTGCTATGGATGATGACCCTACTAGTGATGATGCTGACATTGTTGATGAAGATATCCTTACTCAGCCATTTCCGGGAGGGCCAACAGATCCATCAATCCTTAAAAGTTTTAAAAGTCATGTTGCCACAGCTATTTGGAATGGCGCTGATGAAAGAGGACTCTTGAAGTGTCATAATTACTTGTTTAAGATTAGTTCGTGGCCGTGGTGGGAACGAGGAAACAACGCTACATTTGTAAACATTGCAGAGATGTCAGGACTTGCACAATTAGCTTGTTACACGTACCGCTTTGTCAACAAAATTGTAGTGTCCAATTTTGTTGAGAGTTGGCAACCAGAGACAAACACCTGCCATTTGACTGTTGGAGAGATGACTATCACATTGGACGATGTCGCCACTATCCTAGGGCTTCCCATTGTAGGCAAATTTATGCGTAAGTTGTCAGAAAGGCGGGCCATTGCATTAGTAGTTAATACCTTGGAAATTGATGAGCAAGAGGTCACACATGAGATGTATAGTGCTGGAGACAATTCAGTGAGGCTTGAATGGTTGAGAGCATACTTTCATAATGTCACAGACAATGATTCAATGGAAAGAATTGCATGTGTAGATAGAGCATACTTGCTATTTTTATTGGGTTGTTCACTTTTCAGTGACAAGACTGGTACTAGGGTCCCCGTTGTTTATTTGAGTTTGTTGTCTAATTTGACGACTGTATCTTCATATGCTTGGGGTGCTGCTGCATTGGCATATTTATATAGACAGATGGGGTACGCTAGCAGGTCCGACGTGAAATAGATAGCCGGTTACATGACACTTCTTGAGGGATGGATTTATAAGCACTTTCGTGGATTCCGACCACACTTGAATATGAATTACGCTCAAGACATGCCACATGTTTATCGTTGGACTTCTTAGAGAGAGTCTGGTGAAAAGACATAGTTGTAGGCTTTTCAAGAGAAGCTTGATAGGTTGGGTGTGCATGATGTAAGTTAGAAAGTCCATCAAAATTTGAAACTCTATATCATACAAAAATTACTGTTGCCATTTCTTACAGTTGTTATTGCTTGTAGGTTATTTGGGACCCATACTAGAGTTGCAAAGATGTCCATCTATGTCACCGAGTTACGTTCTACCACGGTTGCCTAAAGTGTTTGAAAGTAGTTGAACCATATCACCCTGATAGAGTTTTGAGACAGTTTGGTAGAGTGCAAACAATCCCTAATCCACCACTTGGCCCTATACGTGCCTCTCGAGGAGCCACAACTTCATGCTACAATGTTATCTATGCATACTTGGACATCATTTGAGAGACATGAGACAACCATGTGTTATCTGATCGGAGGAGGAGTACACCAGTACGACAACCTTGGGATTGTGTTCCTGGTTACATGGATTGGTACCAAACCAATACCCATATGTATGTTCAAAACCCAGTGCATCGTTCTCAAGTAGACTCAAATATTCGTCATTATCAGTATCCTAACCCAAACGCACAGGTACTTTTTTTTTTCATTTACATTACAAATTATTTATGTAAACTATTATAGGTTTGTACATAATGTTGTATTTGTTCTCGTAATGCAGCGTATGTCACAGATATATCAGATTACTCATCCTTTCATTGAGGTAGGCTATGAGGACAGTGTTCAACATCCTGATAGGCTTTACTACGTAATTGATGCAATTGAACAGCTTTTTCAAGATCAACACATTACTGAAGCTGCACCCAGCACATTTACTGTAGGTCGGTCTACACCTAGCTCTTCCACTGCACATCATTTTTGAGCACATTACAATCGCCGGTCATGTAGTTGATAATAGTTCATAATGTTAGCACAAGTTATTATTATTTTTTTAACTTTATGAAAAAATGTATAAAAAGTGAAATGAATAAAAATATATTTTTAACTTTTTATATTAGTTAAAATTATTATTATTTTTTTAACTTTATAATTTATTTAGTGATTTTTTAATTAAAATAATTTCTTTACAAAAAACTCAATTGTGCAAATGAAAAGAGCTTGTTTGAGAAGGGTTACCATAACATACTTTTTATTTTTATTTTTATTTTTATTTTTTTGAGTTACACTATTTTTTTTATTTTTTCTGTATAAAAAATCACATAATATATTTATTTGACACTTTCCAAATAACCTAGTAATTTCGGGCAGAATTGCGGGTCGCTCTAGAAATATCCAGCCAGCCCTAGCTATAAAAGGCGACCTATGGAAAAATAGGAAATTGGTTTCGTAATTCGACTAGCGAGCGAGCGAGCGAGAGAGAGAGAGAAGAACAATCAGGTTTGGAAAAATGGCCGACGAGGACTTCGAGATGGACGGAGGGTTCGTTCCACTTCACTTTCATCTCCACTCTCTCTCTCTAGCTTCTTCTATCTGTTAATATCTTCATTTTATTGATCTGGTTTCCAATATGGTTAAGAAAAGTTTTTTTTGTGTGTGGCAGTTTGTTATTGTTAACGATTGTTGTTGCTTAGGGTTTAGTTTTATCGTCCTTTGCAATTTGATCATAATTTAGCTATGATTGATTTTGTATATTTGTGTGTATTTATGTATGTATCTCTGAAAGGATGGAGTTGATTGTGGAAAATACGGAAAGAAACTAAGGAAAGGTTGAACAGTAGGAAAGAAACAATTTTTGTTTGACAATGTTATCAAACAACACCCAAGTGAAAAACAAAAACAAAAACGAAAATTAATGGAGTTAGTCGCTAGCCCCGGGGAGTGTCACTGGAGTCATGGGGTGTTCAGAGGGGCAGAAAGTGGCCGGAGGTCACATGCGGTGAATGTATGATGTGGTTGGCTGGCGGCCAACAGTCACGGACATGTGACACGGCTAGGATAAAACACAGACATGCATAATTTTTAAAAGATGCAAGACACGACACATGGTGGTTATGCACAAAATATATAATTACATAAATTGATTACATATCATATATATATATATATATGAATATAGAATTCCAAGACAATAAATAAAAGTAATATAACACTAATATCTATAAATTGACATTAGTTTTCTTTCATCATCATATTTTAAGTTATCTTGTTCTAACTTATAGTTAGTTTCATATATGTCTAATGAATCGACATTTGTGTTTAAGCAATGGACGCCTGGGTCCGAAGAGTGTTCAAGTCTAAATTTAAAGTAATAATAATAATAATAAGACACGTTTGGATGAGTGTTAGACGTGTTGGGAAAGTGTCTAATGAGTGTCGGTGTTCGACATAGACATGCCATCTTTTTAAAAGTGTCCGTGTTTCTTAGGTGGTTGCCGATGGTGTAGGTGGTGGGCAAAGGTTGTGGTGGGTGAGGGAGGAGAGAATAAAAAAATTTTGAACACAATTGAGAACACATTTTTTCCCTTTCTTAACATTTTGAAATCAATTTCATTATATTTTTATTTATTTTTTTTTAATAAACAAAAACAATAAACCAAACAAGTTTTTTTTTTTTTTTTTTTTTTCAATTTTTCAAAAAAATAAAAAATAAAAAAAAAATTGAAAATGTAAACAGTAAATAGAAAAAGAAAACGTTACCATGGCCTAGTTACTCTTTTGAACTTGTGGCATTCTCGGTGGAATATATTGTAGGTTAGGTGCAATTTTGCAATGGTTTAACTGAGCCCTTGATGAGTTTTAGGATTCTGGTTACCATTGAGTGGAACAACAGTAGTAAAGGTCTTTCATGGTTCATGAGCAATGACAATCAAATTCTTTGGATTCGGATGAAAGTAAAATATTTGGATATTCAGGTTAATTTTCCTCAAATAATCTTTTGGATGAATCCTACAACTTTTCAATGCTTAGAGGTAATCAGTCGCACCATATGTGACGTGGTCAATTAGTGAGAGCCAATCTTATATAGCTCCTACTTTCAGTTGTAAAGTCTAGGTTGGATTCTTTTTGCTATTATTTTAGCTCAAGTGGTTATGGACTTTTGATATTACCTTGGAAAAGATATTGACCTAGGAAACTCCAACTAATGGACTGCTTCTGCAGAAGTGGATCAATATATCTTTTATTCTTCAATGATCATGGAAACGGCTGCATTTATCTTATAATGACAATCTAAGGTAATAAGTGGCCTGTGCTTATATTGTTCTTCAAATAATATTTATATATCTTTAGGTTGAACTTTGTTTATTAGGTTATGACATATTATGGAATATTGCTCTCTTATGATGATAAATCTGTTGTGAGCGTAATTCATGTAACCATTTAAGACAGCAGAATTCTGACGGGCATATAGATGCCATATAACAGTCCATAAAGCTACCTCGTTTATTGATGTTGTGTGATACAGCAGTCCCTAAAGTGACCCGGTTTTTTGATGTTATGCATATGTGTGTTGGCATGTTCATCTGTAGTTTGGACAAATTTTATTGATAATGAGTGTTTTTTTCTTCTTCTTAATCTTTGGGTGTCATTATTATTTGATGTCAATGAAATTTTTGTTTGTTCACATTGGCGTGTTCATCTGTAGTTTGGACAAAATTTATTGACAATGAGTGATTTTTTTTCTTAATCTTTGGGTGTCGTTATTTGATGTTAATGAAATTTTCGTTTGTCCAGATATGAAGATGAGCCATTAGAGCCTGAACCTGATGTAAGAAGTCTTTACTTTGATATGCCTGTAATGTTTTGGTGGACCTTACTTCTGATGTATGACTGAATTAGTTTTTGAATATTTGGGGGTAATTGACAGGAAGGGGTAGAAGAGGAACTGGATAATGATAACACTGATGATGTTCCTGACCCTCTATTAGCTGAAAATGAAGAAAAGCAAGGGCAGGAAACAGGTGAACGACTTCGGAAGACATCAAAATATATGACAAAATATGAACGTGCAAGAATTTTGGGTACTCGTGCCCTGCAAATCAGGTTATATTTAAGAAGCGAATAAATTTAGAATCTTGTTAAATTAAGATAAGTGAGGTCATGACATATTTAACTTTTGACTTTGGGTGAGCAGCATGAATGCACCTGTGATGGTTGAGTTGGAAGGTGAAACAGACCCGCTTGAGGTGAGCTTCTTTAAGAGTATTGGTGGATGAGTAGATTTGCTTTCTTGTTTGTCTTTCCTTGTTGAACTCATGTGAATGTGAATTCTGAACTTTGATTTTAAGATCAAAATTCATAGTGTTGCGGGTCTTCTTCATTAGTTTTGTGTCAAAAAGGAGTCCATGTATCTTGTATGACAGAACAAATAGTATACAAAAAAGAAAAAGGGTAGTTAAAGTCCTTCGTAGTAATCTGTCCTTTATAATGCAACTAGAAACAACTCTATTGGAATCATCTACAAGCTAGATGGATTGGTCACGTTGAGTTTACAACATCCTTGTGTTAATGCCAATAGCCATGCTATGGAACTTAGGTCAATTTAAGCAACTCTTGTCTTGACTATTTGGGGTTTACAATGATGTTCCTATCGTATTTTGTTTTGTACAGCTAGGCAAATATGTTCTTAAGACATAGATATCTTCTTACTAATTCAACTATGCCAGTTTTGTTTTGTTTTTTCCCCCCCTCAAACCTAAATTACATTGCTTAGCATTGGTGGTGCTATCCTTGATGGCTGAAATTCAACTTGTTTAATTTGCTTTTTATTGATTTTATTTTTGTATTGATGTTTGACCAAGGCTTGGCTAGTGAAGACATACCCTGATTGATTTGATGTGTATGAGAGAGAGAGTGATTTTGGAAAGTAGGTAACCAAACAAAATTTTGAGATTTTTTTTGGAAAAATTTGTTTGGTTTTATTACTCTTGAAAATTTGTTTGTAGAGAATTTTTTCCAAAATTTTTTCTGAAACAAACCAAACAAGGCCTTAAGTGTTTGTGGTAGTTCTCTGGTCAGAATTTATTTTTGAGTTAAAATAGTTATATTCTGATTGGAATTCATTGATATATAATTTTAGACTAAAAGGCTAGACCCTATCATGTTATTATGATCGGCTATAGAATTATATTACATACTGTAGCAGGCATTAGTCCCAATAGTGTGGCATGATATTATTCATGCTGTATAGCTTGATATTTTCATGCTGTTGTAGCCAATTTCTTCTTTCTCCTCTTAGCATTTTAGGTTTTCTTTGCTTGGATTGAATTTAGTTTGATTTAAGGACTAGGATTCATTACTATCAAGCCCCGTTTGATTGCAGGTTGGGGGTTTTGTGGGTTTGACCGGATTTGTAATACCATGGTTTTAAGGACAGGATTCGTAATGTGTAGGATAATAGATGAGATTAGTAATACCGTAGGCGTATTTGTACTATGTTTGATTAGGATATAATATAAGATGGATAAGAGGGGAGGATTATTTTTGACCTTTGGATGGGGTGATTTCTAGAGGGGGATGTGTCTAATCCCACAGTATTGGATTACTTTACTAATACCACCTCCCCCAAAGGTATTGCCACCCCCCATTTGGGAATTAGCAATACCTTTGGACTATCTGTCAATCCCAATCGCAAGCCATGGCCGAATCAACCACAAGCTCAGTGGACATACAAAAACGTGGCTCCCATGCAGCCCCCACAGGATTTTAATATTGGTCAAACCGGATTGGAGTCCTCCAAAGCAGCAATCAAACTAGGGTTTGCTGGCTATGATAGGATTATAATAACCTATTTTGGAGTTGATGAATATTCAGTTCAGAAGCAGCAACTCCCAATGTTTTATTGAAGTAATTGTGTTGTTTCTTTCTTCGCTCTTTCGCTCTCTCTCTCTCTCTCTCTCAATTTATCTTGTCTTTGACCGTGTTAAGGTTTATTTTGGTACTTATTTATATTTGTGTTCATCAATTTTCTTTATGTTTCCTGCAATTAGATATGATTTTAGTGTTATTGTTTTACAATAAAAAAAGAAAAAGAAAACGAAGACTGCTGTCCAAGCCATTTGAACAACTGTGGGGCAAAATTTATTCAAAGCCCTCTTTTACCTAACTGAACCTTCTCTAAACTATTCAGCAGCACATCCTAGGTCTCTCAAACAAAATTTCAATGTTGAAAAGTGTAATTGTTATTCTGAATTAGATTGCAATGAAGGAGCTTCGACAGAAGAAGATACCCTTCACCATTCGCCGCTATTTGCCTGATGGAAGGTACAGCTCTCGGACTATATTTTTACTATTGGCCTCCTTTTTAAATTGACAACAACAATATAATCTCTTTTGTAAATAACGAATCATATTGATCACATATTGCCTTTCCAGTTATGAGGATTGGGGAGTTGATGAATTGATCGTGGAAGACTCGTGGAAGAGGCAAGTCGGAGGTGATTAATATGCATAATCTTCTTTGATGAGCTAGGTTCTTGAAGGTTAGGTTTGTGATGGCTTCATGAGCGCAATGTTGCAACATATTAAGCTTGAATAGTGTATCGAACCAATTTGAATTAATATGTTGGACAAAGTTGAAATATATGCAATATTGCTGCCAATGGTGTGCTTTAATTCACGGGAAACTTTATTTCATTATATTTTGTTAATTTATTTTTCAATTGTTTAGAACATCGAAGATAATAGATGAAAAAACCAGAAGGTCAGGTCAGCAGAACTTCAATGTCCAAAGAACAATCTGTTACTGGTTTCCCCCCTCTCTCACTCTCTCCAAAATTGCATTAGGTGGTGTTTTGATGAGCAGAAAAAGCATATCTAATAATGGCAGAGCTGAGAGGCTTTACAGGTGGGGGAGTCTTCAATTTGCATTTAAAGTTGAAAGCTAGATTGGGTGCTTTATAATGGGCAGTAAAGCATGACTCTGACTGTAATCTTTTGTCTGTTTGACTAATTGGCTTAAATGATTATGCAACCAATTCTTTGATTAAAGCAGGATCCATTGAATAAAGTGATTATATGGACTGCTGCATTGACTTTGGTCATTTTCATTTCTCAAAATTATTTAATTTTGGGAGTTAGGTATGGACCAACCAATAGAGAGAAACTATTAGTAAATTGAAAGCATTGGATCAAATTGAGCTATGGTTAATAGCAAGTTGTTTAACCTTTTAGAAGATTTGTGTTTTGAAAAATGTTATGGGCAGATTTGTGTGTTTTTTGAGTTAATTTCAAACAAGACATCATGTTACTGTAGTAACATGACATCACATCTCTCTCAATAAACAACAATAGATGAAAAATGGCTCTAGTCTAGAGAGCTTAAAAACAAGCAGTACTAAAGAGATTTTTTATGGCTTCCCAGATAAAGATAGACATACTGAGCCTAAACAAATAAAGACACTAATACATAACTCTAATAAATAGGGAAAAAAAGATGTGAGATTTTCAATCATTTTACTAATTTCAAATTTCGAGAATATAAAAATGAGAAAAAAATGAATTTTAATCATTTCATTAAATTTGTATAGACAATTAGCCCATGATGTTCTTACTTTACAAAAAATAAAATAAAAAAAGATGTTTTTTATTAAATCAATGATGAACCAAATACTATACCAAATTTTCAATAGTTATATTTTCATTCAAACTTGATAATTTTTTTAAAAAGTAATGTTTGATGATGATTCTTTTTCATTAAAAATATTTGGAAGAGGTTTTTAGGATAAATTTTGAACTTTTTAAGAAGATTTGATTAAAAAAAAACAGAAAAAAAGAAAAGAAAAGTAGTGTGTGCACCATATCATATGAATGATTTAACTAAATTTTCATTTTCATTTGATAGGAAAAAGAAGAAGAAGCACGGATTCGCCTTGTGGAAGGAGATTAAAGCATATCTCCATTAGTTTTGTTAAAGCCAAACTTCAGCAACATGTCTTCAAAAATTATATTCAATTGTCTATTGACATGGACAGGCCCACGAGGCATACAGCCCACGGCAAACCACCCCGAACCCATCACCTCGGACCCGTAGCATAACTTAATTGGCAAAGTCCAGGACAGCTGGAGTCCACCTGGACTGTATCACCCAAGGGCATTCGGACACATGACAGATGAGACACAGGCCACATCAGCAGACAAAGATTTGCAGAGTTATTGCCACAACACATCACCATTAATGCAACCCATCACAGCATTTATTACGACAACACCTCCCCGTCGGAACAGAGCCCCCTCACCCTGAACAAGGTAAGCTACGGCACAGGCTTTCGACGAAAAGGGGGGCACGTCACAAAGGACAGTGAAATGATTACCAAAGGATATAAGCAACAAGTGAAGCACAAGAATAAGGTTAAGCTTTTCATTTCTCCATCTTCTTCGCTACATTTTCCTGTCTTCCTTCTACTAATTCTCTCGCCAGAGGGTTCACTAGGGGACTGCCCCGTTCCCCTTTGGACTTGCTCGCAGGTCATTTGACGGAATCACCACCCGAAACCAGAACCTGAAGAACCTGGGCTAGCCTGACCCATCCACTCGGGACGGCCTGTATCATCAGTTGGCGCCGTCTGTGGGAACTTAGTGGTTTATCTGTGCGCTAGTTGTGTTCACTACCGCCGGAGCCCTCCCCTCTCACCATCACCTTTCCCTCTTGCCCGTCCAGGTGTATGGTCACGACTAGGTCCATGGCTTCTCACAACAACGCCGCCGATCACCAAACAGATCCTTCCCACCCAACTAACCCACCATAGTATATCATCGAGCTCACCAACAGCATTAACCGCATGGCCGAGCAAAACCAGGCCCTGATCAATGCGTTACTCCAGAGAAACCCCCCCGTTCCGTCTCCAAATATCCCACCCAACCAAGGAATAACACCAGGCCATACTGCTCCACAACCCCCTCCGCCTAACCCAGAAGGCTCGCAGCCCCTTCCTCCCCAACATGAAAACCTACCACCCCCACCTCCACGCTCGCCAGTCGCAGCACTGGCTCCTGAGGGGGAAGCTAGCAGTGTCCAGCCTCCATTGACCGACCATGGCGACAACATTCCCCTCTGGGACGCTGAAATCCGAGCTATGAAACTCCAACTACAAGGGGTCATGCAGAACATTCAGCACAAGCCCTCAGTCACCACCAACTCGCCTTTTGTTGCCTCCATCCGCGACAAACCATTGCCTGCCAAGTTCAAGATGCCTACCGTTGACTCCTTCGATGGCACGACGGACCCAGTCGACCATCTGGAATCCTAACCGCACCCTCATGATCCTCCACGTACTGGTTTATTCGCGCGCTAGTTGTGTTCACTACCGCCGGAGCCCTCCCCTCTCACCATCACCTTTCCCTCTTGCCCGTCCAGGTGTATGGTCACGACTAGGTCCATGGCTTCTCACCACAACGCCGCCGATCACCAAACAGATCCTTCCCACCCAACCAACCCACCACAATATATCATCGAGCTCACCAATAGCATTAACCGTATGGCCAAGCAAAACTAGGCCCTGATCAATGCGTTACTCCAGAGAAACCCCCCCGTTCCGCCTCCAAATATCCCACCCAACCAAGGAATAACCCCAGGCCATACTGCTCCACAACCCCCTTCGCCTAACCCAGAAGGCTCGCAGCCCCTTCCTCCCCAACATGAAAACCTACCACCCCCACCTCCACGCCCGCCAGTCGCAGCACTGGCTCCTGAGGGGGAAGCTAGCAGTGTCCAGCCTCCATTGACCGACCATGGCGACAACATTCCCCTCTAGGACGCTGAAATCCGAGCTATGAAACTCCAACTACAAGGGGTCAGGCAGAACATTCAACACAAGCCCTCAGTCACCACCAACTCGCCTTTTGTTGCCTCCATCCGCGACAAACCATTGCCTGCCAAGTTCAAGATGCCTACCGTTGACTCCTTCGATGGCACGACGGACCCAGTCGACCATCTGGAATCCTACCGCACCTTCATGATCCTCCATGCTTTCCCTGACGAGATCATGTGCCGAGCTTTTCCAGTGACACTGAAGGGATCAGCTCGGCTGTGGTTTAGCCAACTCCCGGCGGACTCCGTCTCCACCTTTCAACACCTCAGTGACTCCTTCCTGAGCCACTTTATTGGAGCCCAGCGTCAGAGACGCCCAGCCACCCAGCTCCTTAACATTCGTCAGACCGAGGGGGAGTCCCTCCGCAGCTTTGTCACCCGGTTCAACACCGAAGCCCTTCAAGTAGCGGAGAATGACGATAAGGTCATCCTCACCGCTTTCATGGCCGGCCTGCGGTCGTCTGATTTCCTTTTCTCCCTCTCCAAAAACCCTCCAACCACCATGGCAGCTCTACTATCCAAAGCCCAGAAATACATGAATGCTGAAGATTCCCTGGCCGCTCGGCAAGAGCCGACCCCTAAAAATCCGACCCCCAGAGACAAGAGGAAAGACTCCGAGCCCAGAACCGCCCAGTATAATAGCCAAACACCCTACTATAATGACCGACCCCCCCGAACCGACCGGCCGACTCTGACCAGACCACCTGGTCGGTTTGAGCGGTACACACCTCTCAACTCCCCCATGGAGCACGTCCTCAATCAAATCCAGCGGGACTACCCCCTCAAGTGGCCCCTACCGTCCAGAAACCCTTCCACCCGGAAGGATCAGTCCAAATACTGCCGCTTCCACCAAGACCATGGCCATACTACCGACGAGTGCATCAACCTCAAAGACCAGGTCGAGACCTTCATCCGCCAGGGCCGCCTCAGCCGATTCACAGACCCCCGCCCCGCACAGAGGCAAAGAACTGACCTTCCCAGGAACAATCGGCGACGCACACCACCCCGCAATCAAGCCCCACCAAACGAAGGCCACAATCGCCCGCCACCACAGCCTCGGCCTCCGGGCAATCCCCCTTCACCAGTCGGAGAAATCAGAGTCATTTCGGGAGGCCTTACTTGCGGGGGGCCATCCCGCTCAGCTCAGAAGGCAGAACTCAGAAAAATCAGACAAGGCTCAGACAAAGCAGTGGCGACGGTGGACCGACCTCCCAAACAGTCAAAACAATGGATCGAACCCATCACCTTCACCGACACTGACTGTGCAGGAGTCCGTTACCCACATAATGACCCCCTTGTCATTTCCACCATCCTCTCCAACTACAAAGTCAGACGAGTCCTCGTAGACAACGGCAACTCTTCAGACATTATCTTCCTCAATTGCTTCCGCCAGCTCAAGATTGGGGAAGAGAGTCTGTCTCCTCTCCAAACCCCTCTGGTCGGCTTCACCGGCGACCGCATTACCTCCATCGGTTCCATCGATCTACCTATCACCATTGGCGAGCACCCCCGGCAGACCACTAAGTTGCTCACCTTTCTTGTGGTCGACTGCCCCTCTGCTTACAACATTATCCTCGGTCGCACAGCCCTCAACGCCTTCCACGCCATCACATCTACATATCATCTTGCCAACCCCCCCTTCTCTCCCAAGCAATAACGGGCGAACCCCTCTTCCTCTACTTAGCGGTATCGGAAACCGCAGTTAGTGCAGCTCTCCTCAGAGAAGATGGCTTAATCCAACGGCCGGTCTATTACATCAGTCGGGCTCTCAGGGGCGCGGAGCAGAACTACCCCTTGCTGGAAAAACTGTCCCTGGCCTTGGTCATTG